CGGCAGCAAAGTCGAAAAATTTGTGGTGGATTATCGTCAATTGGTGCCTAAGTGCTCTTTACTTTATGTGCATGGCGGAATGTGGCTGGGCTTCGTAATCCGATGTTGCCGTGGTTGATTTTGTATCATTTTTTTCATTTTATATGGTCATTCCTTCAATTGTGAACTTTCTTTAGAACAGTACGTTAGGTTGATGTTTGCCTTCAATCTCACTTTTCTCACTTAACAAATTGATTTTGTCTGGTTTTGTACCCATTCTGCCACTTTTCTAGCCTTTGTTGTTGCTGATTGTTCTGGTGCTTGTCTTTTACTGCCCCTTTTAAGGCTAGCTGATACTCTACCTCGACAAGTTAGTCCTGAAACCCCCTTTTCGTAGCGGTGCATTAAGCATCAATATTTTGTTCGAATTAGTTAATTATTTAACAGGGGAATAGTCATCTGTTGTAAATAACTAAAGTCTCAGGGGATTTAAACCATAAACCTTTTAAAATCGTTCCAAATCCTTTTACAATTAAACCAATCTTACGGACCTATAAAAATGCTTGTCTTTTTATCGGTGTGTTTAAAAAGAAATTATTTGTTGTATCGCATAAGGAACTGTCAGACATCCGATTTCTTGTGAGCACTTCATCAGGTAGATTGGTGTTAATCTATCGATAAGGCACCTTAGACTGTACTCCCTTCTACTTCCTTGCACCTAAACCCTCTGATCGATTTTATTAATTTGATTTAGTCTGTCTACCTAAAAAAAAAATTCAGTTTGATTTCAAAGCCGCAAAAGTACTTTATAGAACACTCTGCACAACGTTCGGTGAAGGTGCGGTATGGGCAGAACTACGTAGGCTAGCATCAGTTGGCCCCCATAAACCAGTCCCTCGGAGGTCAGCACCTTTAGTCATTTAAAAGAAACCGTCTTGGAATGATTCACCCGTACTGACAAATCTTGTTTATGGAGAAGCTACTTCTCAAGTACTGATTAAACTTTGGGATAAATATGTAAATAAAGCAGTAGGGGACCATATAAGAACCAGCACTTTGGTTTTAAATTGACACCTATGTAATAAAGGCAGCTTTAAAACTGTCATAGGTAACCCGAGTATTTTAGAGACCTAGTTTGGTAAAATACCTCATCGTAATAAAGAAAATGTTTCTAATTTGGTGGGTTAATATACTCGGTATACTCTCATCTCATCTGAAATTTTGAACTTTCGTCTAATTCGAAATCACTCATTTATGAAGCTGTCTGGGAATTGGCAATCCGAAATCGGGGAACAGATACCCTGTTGCACTTGATTCAACCCATAACTCGAGCAGTAGTACTCTGTCTCTCGCATAATCCCTGCTTCTCGAGGCATCGCACCACTGTTGCTTCCACTATCGTTGGTGCCATAACTGTTCCTCTTCTGCATCTGCAGTAGCACTCTGGGACTGACCTTCAAAGAACCCGCTACTAAATTCGTCGTATTCTGCGACAGCCCATCAGTCAACGTTAATGCCATCTTCAGGGAATCTGGTTGCGCCTCACTGCTCTCCAAGATGTCGGTTAACGCGCGAATGTAATTTTTAGCCAATCGGAGAGTTTCAATTTTACTTAACCGCTGATTGGCCGAGAAGACAGGCACACGCTCCCGTAGTGCCTCTAGAGCCCTATTCAAACCATGCATCCGGTTTCGCTCGCGGTCATTGGCTCGTGCTCGTCGACTGCGCATCCGATCTTCGCGTTCTTTTGTTAGAGGCTTTTTCTTTGGTCCGCGTTTCTTACGATGGCTTCGAGATAGGGCTTCTGTGTCAGCCTGGTCTCCAAAATCTGCAAATGGGGTAACAAGTTACTTAAACTTGATAGTAGAACTGTTGTCAAAACTTATTTCACTTAATACCAAGGTGTTCCTGATTGAGGCATTCGAAAAAATAATGCATTTGATTAGTATTAATGAGGTCCTTTAAAAAAATACATGGATGGGTGGATGGATCTAAAGCAAAAGAATGGGTAGATGGATGCAGAGCTCGATGAGCCATTTATAGATGAACCAGAATTGGATGAGGGGACTAACAAAGGAGGAATGACTGAATAAATTAACTAGTGTATGAATTGCCGATAAAAATTAACGAAGGGGAATTCAGTGACTTGTTAGCCAGTGAATAAATGAACGAGTAAGTGGATAGGTGAATTAGTCAACTGATTGCTAAATAAAGCAAAGGTTTATGAATAGAGAGGGTTAAAATGTAGGGACAATTAAGCTAGCAGTTTATTGGTGTAAACATACAAGAATGGGTGGATAAATGGTTTTAGGATGGATAAGAGAATAATTAGTAGATGGTAAGAAAAGTATTATTGTCTCCTGTTTTTGATACCGTTCAACATGTGAGCTGGAGGTACAAATCAATACCGTCACCCCATCTTCTTCAATTTAGCGCAGTGGGTGGGAGGGAAACGAAATGAATAGAGTAGAGGATTTTCGGACATCTGGCAGCTTAAATGTATCCCAATCGACAGATGGTCCACTGCTCGGCGTCTATTTGTCTACTATACCGTCACCGCCACCTCTAACCCCTCTCCCCTTCTCCACGCAAATCACTTATTCCCATCTCATCCCTCCGCTTTCTCATGCAGGTCTCTGCGGATTGGCTAAAAATACGGCCAGTTAAGGTGAAAAGCTGCAAAAGCGACTATCAAAACTGTTCGAGTACCCTTTTCAGGTGCCATCTTTTACTGTTGCTGAAAATATCAAGCAGCGCAGGGTCATGAACACATGCCAAGTAAAGATAAATAAAACACGGAACTCATCAGTCGATCCGCAATAAGGACCACTAGTCGTTGGAAATGGCTCAACTCCTAGAGCCGCAAAATGAATGCTGGCAGATAATTTGTGCAGAAGGCGTTATTATTCATGAGGAAGGAACATCAGTCTCGGCATTTGCTATGGTGGTAGCACTAGTGTCTAAATATAAAAGTTATCAATTTTGGTAACCTAAAGGAAAAGAACACTAAAGGGTATAATAGAAATAAATGTCTGTTTTAGGATCTGTATTATCAGGGATAAACAAGTAATTTTGTTTCAACTTTCACAGATTTACTCCCAATCCTCTTTAGTTACTGGAGTCCAATTGGCCAATCTGGGAAAAGTTATCTGAAAAATATATGTTTTGCCTAAGTCAGCACCTGTAATCCTGATTTTTTAGTTTCTTGACAAGGTTTTGTGAGGGAGAGATGCTCCTGGGTTGAAGAAATCTTCCTCTTCTGTATCACAGTCCAACTGCACTATGTATAGATTAATGAGACCAGTAACCTCATTGTAATTGATAACTGATAGCAGAGTTGTAATCAACAAGTGAGTATCTAGAAGGTAATTTAAGTGAAGGAAATTAATCACTTCTCCATTCCTGTATGTGAATTTTACACCTTAGGCGATTCGAAAAGCTCAGCTACTAGATGAACACGACCACGTGCATTGAAGTAGGGGGCGAAGGGGGAACAAATCACTTTCCCTTTCTGCACACCTGGGCATGGAACGTATGAGTAATGAGTGAGATGAGTACTGGTCCAAATCCAGTCCCAGTAGGCTTTCTGTGTAGCATTTGCCCTCCCCCTTTCGCTCCCTACTCCACCTTCCTACACATGCACATCTGGAATCTCATGAGATGTTAAGGTAGTTGACTGTTGTCAACCTCGAAAGCTTCGCGGCTAGTCGCCATTTTGTGATTCAGGATCTCTAAAAATTCTAAAGATCTCTGTCATCTTAGCCACTTTCTCCATCTGTTAATGCAGATTTCTGTGAATAGCAACAAGTGAAAGATTTTTTGACTTAGATTCACTAATAAATCTGTTAAATGAATTAAATTGTTTAACCAATGAAAGTAATTAAAGAAAGTTGCAATTTTTTGAAAAGCTGAATTCAACTCACACAAAAAATTTATACGGTTTTATTTATTATTCCGGAAATATAGTCGGCTTTTCGATTAATTATCTACTTTAGTAATTTGGTATTGATATTAATGGTTGAATTAGCCACAAGTGCTTTCCGTTCCCTAGGATTTAACTATGATGCTATTAGCATGTGGTTTCACCCTCCCGTAAGTTGTTATTGCGGACCAAGTACTACCTCTGGTACTACATTAGTCTAGTGGTAGCGATTGACAAATTCACTTTAAGGGGCCAGTAACAACACCGATTTCGCCCGATGAATATTGTATCAAAACGTTACAGGAGAAAGACATCTTTTGGTAGTGATTACGGCTGTAAGGCTCACAAGCGTTGACTTTTGGAAGCACTTCGACTTTTGACAATTGCCTTTTTATCAAGTTCCCCATAGCAATCAGTGTGACAGCAAGACTGGATTGGAACGAATTAGGAGCATAAAATGCGCTCGCTGCATAAAAAACATCTAGGCCTCAAAAATGTTGTTTGTCTAACATGTAGTGCAATGCCTTTTATTATTATCGCGTCACCGTTGAAAGTGGAAAGAGAGACCATGATTTGATCTTTTCTCCTTTTCTGAGATTGCGTTCAACGTAAAGGAAATTATATAACAGTCAAAGCAAAGTGCTGACAAAGAGACGCGATGTGAATAATTTGACTTACGCATTAACAAAACCTTTTCAGATTTATACTGATGCTCACAAACTAAATGGCTGCCGTTTTAATAGATCTTCCCTTAAAATAGACCTCCCTTTAAAATTAATTCTTTAAACAAAAGGGTTTGGTTTGCGAGCCTAACCCAGCAGATTGTTGTTCATCTACTATTTGATTTTTATTTGCTTATCAGTTCCAAAAAATGAACCCAGGAGTGAGAAGGGCAGTTGAGAGGGAGGTCTAATCAGTGATTTGATTTTACTCGGACTGCAGGAGTGAGCGAGTGAGCAAGTGTGAGCGCTTTGTGAAACTAAACAATGGCATCCGTTGATGAAAATTTAGCTCAAAAGAGAATGGGAATGTAAAGAGTGATGCTTCCACTGGAAGGAACTCCGAGCTTGCACATTACTGACTCAATGGCACTTAAATAAACAGTGAAAAACTTGTTTTTGCAAACCTCTCAAACAATGCCTCAATTCAGCCTTAAAGAGTTTCTTCAAATGGTCATTTATAAGGAATCGATTAACTTTGCTGAATGACGCAGCAACTCCAACAAGTCTGGGAAGAGTTGGTGAGTCGCCACAACGTTTAAAGTCGTAAATAGGAAATATTCGATCAAACCACTCTTCAAAATGCTACTTTGGGACGGCTTTAAAGAGGAAACAAAAATTAACACTTCAAACACAATCGCTAAAAAGAAAGTGGTAAGTACAGTTGAGGTGCCTAAAATAAAGATAAATATGCCTCTTCTTAGTTAAGAGTCATAAAATTTATTATTTTAAAAGAATTTTTTACTTTGAAATGAGCCGTACAATTAAGGTTACGGAAAGGGTGGGTGAGCTAAAAGTAATTGTAGACGAAGGAAGTAGCATCCTGTACCTATTTCTGCTCCACTTGAGTTCCTCAATCTATCTTTTAACTCATCTTTCTCAAAGTCGCTCATGATAAACAAGCGGTAGGCGCAAAATATTACATCGTTCAAAAGAATGTGCCTGGACTAAGCAGTTGGGATAGGGTCAAGCATTCAAAGAATTAAGTGATCGAGAAAGTGTATTTAAATTCCATATTACATTAGAAAGGAAAAAAGCAAAACCACGCCTTGATATTTTGACTAAGTTCAATTAAGTAACCAATACCCTTTATTTAAAACCATTAGAAAAAGTTGACGTACCAATCATGGAAACTGTAGCATTCAGTGAATTTAAAGCCATTTGTTGCTGTTGCTGATGGTAGAACGCGTAAATAGACGATACTGAGGTGGAAGAAGATGTTGGGGTCATTGACTGCTGAATGTGGTGCTGCTGCTCCCGCTGCTGCTGCTGCCGTAGGTGATTATGCTCTTGTTGTTGATGATGCTGACGATGACGTGAATGCTGTGAACTCACAGAATTTTGGTCAAAGGTGAATTGAGAATAGGAAGGGTATCCATTGGGAGGAGCGTTCATCATAAAAGTAGATTCCCAAGATTGTGCAAAGGTACAAGGGTGAAGTGAGGTATATACAGTTTCTGCGGAGTAGGCTGATTGGAAAAAACTGACTGTGCCTTTATAATTGGTTTACGCTAGAGACGGTGAAATAGAGTGTCTGCGCTCTGGTCTCTGATTGGCCGTAATGAAGCCACGATATTTGCGGGTGATTTGTCTCCTGGGTAGCACAATAGTAAGTGAATAAATAATGCATGGCAAATACTTAAACTGATTTCGCAAACATTTTAAGTACATGATGCTTTAAATGCTATTTTATGATCTATGGAAGCATAGGTGAGGAAAATATTTACTAAAAGCATAAAAAAGCAAAATTTACCACAGAGAAGAATTTCATAATGTAGAAGCAATACTGTGATTCATGACCGTTTGAATATAAATTTTAAAAGACATGCGATTATTTGCCACTAACGTTGTGGTCTAGAGCTTGAGGCTTTATTGCAGTGCTAGTTCATTAAATTTGTTGCAAAAGCTGACAAACATCTTTTGCAGAATCCATACGTATAAAAAGTGTGAAGAAAATTCAAAGATTTGCAGATGTAAGTAAAAGACGATAAAAAAAAGTTTACGTATCAAATACTTTTGGCAAAATAAGGGAAATTTTAGATACCTCACAGAGAGGCTGAATTCCTAAAATTAAATTAGAGGCGAGAATGCAGTCAGTGAAGATGTTCCTCTATAATAAAACCACCCCAACTAAGCAAGCGTTCTGTGACTATTTAAACAAAAAATAATTTAGTTTAGCATTACAGATACAGACAAAATGATAGAGGCACATGTGTTTCAACCGATATATCAGTAGGAAATGTAAATAAGGGATTAGGAAATGACAGTAATTAAAAGAAAGATAGTTGTATCTAAATACATGTTTCACGAGTTACGTTATAAGCTT